TCCTCTCTCTCCTCTCTCTCTCTCTCTTAATCGCGTTTCGCTTCTTTTTATCAGCTGGCCAGTTGGCGCCAAAATCGCGGGTCGTGACCATGGGTCTCTCACATACGTTTTCAAAGCACTGTGAAGCGGGCGGATTGCTATAGCTTAAAAGTACCTAAGAGTGGCACTATAAATTATCGTTTAGCTGCTGGTACATCTGTCAAATATTTTTTTTTTTTAAACAAACACAAAGAATGATCAACTTTCCCGGTTCCCCCACCCCCACAAGTCTTCCATAGAACAGAACTAGAAGTTAAGAGAAAAAAAAACAGCAGATGTATATTCATATTAACAAAAGTTTTTGTTACCGTTTTAATTATAATTTTTTTATTTTAATGAAGCTCTTTGCAATATTTCTGTTACTGTGCAATTTTGCTTTTATCAGTATGCGCGTTTGGTTTAATATTAACATGGGTTCTGCTCACGATCACTTGATTTTGTTGAGAGGGATTAATCGATAGAGATCTGATCGGTTGGGAAACGAAGTGTGGCTGGTGGTGAGCGGAAATCAATGTCACATTACAACAACAACAACAACAAAATTAACTTATTAACGGCAAAAATTCAAAAGCTTCCCTAAGATAAAAGTCACAGGAAACATGTCATAGAAAAAAAATGTCAACATGTAGGCTCAGCTTTTAAAAAAAAAAATGTATACACTCTTATGACATATATCTTTGCATCTCATGTCTTTGAGCCCGACCTCACTTCCTTGGTGACAATAAGGAGTTTTAGTGTGATGACAGGTATGTGATTGTAAAACAGCGATGGGGAGTGCTTTGGTATAGGCTGATAAGATTGAGGAACAAATTAATTTTCTTATCTTTTGGTCCAACGGCCGTGTTCATTACGCAGAGGTTACGCTCGTGGATCACCTTATGGGCCGTGCGCATACCATACGCCACAAAAAAATGCCTTTTTTAAAACCCATCTCCAACCCCTTATTACATTATATAACAACTCCAACCCCTTATTATGTTATATAACAACTCCAACTCCTTATTACGTTATATAACAACTCCAACTCCTTATTACGTTATATTACAACTCCAACCCTTTATTACGTTATATAACAACTCCAACCCTTTATTACGTTATATTACAACTCCAACCCCTTATTACTTTATATAACAACTCCAACCCTTTATTACGTTATATAACAACTGCAACCCTTTATTACTTATATAACAACTCCAACTCCTTATTACGTTATATAACAACTCCAACCCCTTATTACGTTATATAACAACTCCAACCCTTTATTACGTTATATAACAGTTCTATTGACGACCCTTCTAATATTATAATAACATTTCTAGCTACCACCGTCGCCCCCCCCCCTTTTTTTTCCAATGATCCAGAAACAAGTCCGAAAAAATAGCATGTCGAAACGAGCAACTTCCAAGCAAAATGCTAGAAAATTATGTTTAAAAATGGATGTGCTAATTATCATAAGCCATACAAATACAGCTTAGTTTTTAATAATCTAGGCTAATTTCGTACAGCTGAAAACCAGAAATTTTGTAAAAGATAAGAATTAATTTTAAAAATTGCTCTCTACCACCCCCAACCCATATAACCAAATATAACAAAATGATAAACCATCTCCATACCCCCTCGAATTATAGTATAACGGCACGCCCCCGTAAGTTAGGAACAATGCACAAAAGCTCGAGACAGGCACGCATTAAAAAAAAATACCCCCCTCCCCCCCACCACATGTTCCAAAATCTTTTACTATTATAGAAACAATTGCATACATTTTTTTCCCCCCAGTGAATTGTATCTTCAAAACACAGTATAACAGAGCCAACCGATGCCACCTCGACATACGTATGTTTTTTTTTTAAAAGGAAAACGGAATTTTTAAACGACCATCTATAAAACCCCCTCTGCCTTAGCCTGTACACAAAAAGTATGCCTCACATGAGGTAGGCATACACATTCGAAATAAAAACTGTGTCAAAAATACTGCACTGTAAAGGCTGTAATACAGTACCGGTAGTCGGTAGTAACAATCACCCCTCGATTCACCTGCCACGCGTTTGTCGGGTCGACAGCTGTATGTAAATAAATGCAGTTTCATATATAGGCAATGCCAAGGTCACTTTTGTTGTTAATATAACAATTTCATGCAATAACTTCGTATAAGGTTACTACATTGATCCGTTAAAAGGGTGGACCCAATTTTTTAAATTATTCTATGTTACCGGTATTAAATAATACCCGTAGTCGGCGTAGGCCTACAGTATTAAAATTCAATTAGTGAAATTCTATAGTTTAAATCTGTTGAAGTGTTGTCTTTTTCGTAACAACACAAAACGATCACAGCTATTAATAATGTAACTTCCCCCTAATTTTCTCTTTGAAATTTTTATATATCTATATAAAATAGTAACATTTTAAAAGTGTATAAAAGCGTAAAAGCTAATTCAGATATCATAAAATTATTTGAAAGTGTACACTGAAATTCATGCATAACTTACTACTCAATAAGCAAGAAAGGTCATACTGTAAATACTAGTTATATAATATAGTTACAAAAGTCAGTACTGAAAATAATTTAATTTAAAAACGACCACATCCTATATTATATGAAAGGGCGATATAATACTAACTTAGTAGGTAAATAGTAATAGTAAATAGTGCTTAACAATTAAATATCTCTTATTATTTCTTCTTTTTTTTAATTGAACGAATTTATTGTGTTTCAGAAATGTGTAGATGTTCATAACAGTTAAAATAGTATCCAAAACGTTAAAAATGGCAGCCCCCCATTTCCTCCTCTCCCTTACCAGGGCTATGAAGTGGAGTGGGAAGGACCCCACCGACTCTTACAGGGAGGGGGGTTGAATACGTTCATTGAAGCCATTCAACAAGTGTTAGTAAAGTTGTACGACTATTGGCTTTCATTGGAGCTTTACGTTGACTCCGCCTCCATTTTTTTCCCGCCATATGACCCAATTACATCCCTCCGCGTAAATATTTGAGCTACCAAGTAAAATACCATTTAAACTACATTTAATTATTTTTTATTAATTTATTTTATTAAATGTATCATAAATAATATTTTAGAAAACATTATTGTGCATTAACATATTTAAAATGAATGTTTTACGCTTTGCGTAAATGTGACCTTGGTCGTGAATGCAATAAATGAGCCTCGCGGAGGGATATGTCTAGTTGCGTAGCTAATCTTATATCGAGCAGGGTGTGCGCGAAGATCAGCGCAGTTCGGTGTTGGTTCTCTTCAAGGGCAGGAGTAATGCCGGGTGTTCTTAGTTGTAATTCTCAGTGTGTTGGATATAGTACTGTTGGAAAGATGGTAAGTCGTACTTAACAATATTTATTTCTATATGAGTAGTTAAAACTTAAAATATTTTTGGGGGACCGTAGGCCTACATTAACTTAAAGTGGGAGGTGCCCCTACTCATTCCGCACCAGAAAAATGTGGTTTAGTTAACAACAGTGTGATATTTATATGGCTGTCGGTTTGTATTTGCGCATTTATTAATTCGCATATGTTCATCTATCTAGGCACTTAGCGTAATTTAAAAGTGTTAAACAGATCGGTCCATTTTATAAGGCTTGTCTTCTCAACCATAGTTATCATTAATTTAACCAATGAATGATCGTACGAATTGTTTTCATCAATACACCGGTAACCTCCCAAAAGAACAAAATGGTTTTCTTCCCATTTATGCGGAGGTTCATGTCAGGGCGCCAGCTGGCTGTGTTCTGAGTGAGAGGTCACAACGTGACTTTCACGTGGCGAAATCGCCGATATCTTAAACTTGTCTGTGCCATGTGATGTTTAAAACCGAGTGATATGATAAATAAAATATTGTTACAAGAAAAGTAAAAAAAGAATAATTATTGTTAAACGCCAGCGATACGATGTTCGGGTTTACTTTTTTAGTGTCATACACTGAACAGCCTACACATACGCAATTACCAACTTATTTTATCAGCTGTAAATAGCTCTCGGTACTATTTCTTTTTATTTCTTCATTAAAATGTGGGTAGTTTGTATATAGTGCACTTATGTCTTATGTTAACTATGCTATATTTTCAAAGCAATTTTTATCTTCAATTACATAAGCTATACTATAGTTATTGCAATAGGAGTGGGCATACAACCGCTCAGGCCTTGGACTTGGATGTAGTTTCGTAAGGTCTTAAAACATTAAACCCCTCTTAATCTTATAACTTACGTAGTTTAAGTCTTAAGCCTAAGGATAAGTTTGACTAAGTTGTTGGCCGGATCAGTGTCGTCTAAGAATCAGACTGAAAATTTGAACCAACTCTATGCATACTGCTTAGCTCATTTGTAATGTGTGTGGGGTGGGGGGAGAAATCATTTAACATTAATAAAAGATATATGATACCCTTCATATACTTTCAAATGGAAATGAGGCTGTCTATGCTGATATGGACGGATCAGTGTCGTCTAAAAAGCAGACTGAAAATTTGAACCAACTCTATGCATACTGCTTAGCTCATTTGTAATGGGTGTGGGGGGGGGGGAGAAATCATTTAACATTAATAAAAGATATATGATACCCTTCATATACTTTCAAATGGAAATGAGGCTGTCTATGCTGATCGATGCCCAGTTCCATATTTACCGCGCCCAGGGGGTCGGATTAATTATTCAATAACCGAATCTGGTCCCCGGGCCTTCGTTTGACGACCCCTGGTTTAAATGTTATGTGTCAAGGGCTACGTACTATCTACTATCTCAATTTTTTTTATACCGTCGTCGCCTGTGGGGATTTGATTAATGGTGCGTGCTTTATACTCTCTCTTTCAATCAAGAAAACGTATAAACCTAAATATGCACCACGCATAGCTATTCCTAGTGGCATTAACAGGCTTTTAGGGCTATGAAAAAGTTAATGTAATTTCAATTTTATAACAGCAATGTAATTATAATTTCTGGTAAGTTTTATGATTATGTAACTGATGGCACCTCTTTATTATTTACTTGCAGGCGTTTTTTATGGATCCTGATTTGATCAATTTCAATTCTGATGATGATGTTACTGATGTCGGGGACATAGCTAGCAGAATCTTTGGACCATCCTCAACACCATTGTCACAAGCGTCCCAGTCTAATGATAATACTGACAGTGATTGTGAACTGCCTGATAATGAACATCCTGTTGACCTAATAAAATACTTGGATAGCCCAGAAATTGACATTGATCTGCCAAAAATAAAATGTGAAGGGGACTGTAATGTGTGCACAGAGACCCCCAATAAATATAACAAGTACAGAGTCTCAGCTCGACAAGATCCATTCATGGGGATGGGTGGCTCTCAGTCACATTCTTCCACTAACTGTGGAACTCATGCTGCCATCACAGCTACTTCCCCTGTCCTGACTGCACTTGACTTTGATTTTGACCCATACAGTCAGCAGCAAATATTGCAGCAGCAGCGATTCTGTGCTTGGGGTCATAAGAATGATGATGGATTTGACCTAATGCTCAACAAAAGCAGTATAACTAGCCTTCTTGGAATTTTGGAGGATGATATTGAAGAGGTTACATTTCCAGATACACCTTCTCCATCAAGTCGATCAGGTACTTTAATTCTCAGTTTTTATGGTTGATATTTTATTTTGGGTATACTGATTTTACTTTTTTATTTTTTCACCAGCGTTGATTTTGTAGACTTTTGTTTCACAATATCTTCCACTTCCTTTCAGGTGATGATAGTGATGTTGATATTGAAACTGTGACGGATGCACCACGTTCAGCTGACTCTTGTGGATATGTAACACAGGATTCATCACCATCAATGAGCCCAGCTGCATCTCCATCTCCATTTAACACCCTGGCCAGTGTAAGCCTTCAGTCTGCTATTTCCAAATCATCTTCAATTTGCTTCGGCTCAGTTTCACCATCATCCAGCAGCAAGTCATCAGGTGGATTTACATCTTATGGAGTTTCAAGCTCTGCCTCGCTGGCTGAAAATCTTATGGCTGGACGTACTAGCCTCCATGGCCAAAAGCGTAAATTGGCTAAGGAAAAGAAAATAGGATCCAAATCACCACAGCCTGTTTATACTCACATACTTTGCAACAGCAATAGTGTCAACTTTCATGACTATGCCATGAGCCCAGGTGCTTATACCTTTCCTTCAACTTCAACAGAGACCGGCAGGCCAACTGTCATGTCCAAGAGAATTTACAAAAGAAAACAGCTAGCACTAGATGCTTCTGATAAGGAAAAGCAACACCATCACAATCAACTGGAAAGAAACCGTCGTCAAAAACTTGCAGATTTATTTGTTGACCTAAGAGATGAAGTGCCCAAAATTGCCAACCAGGCAAAGGCTTCAAAGGTTGTTATTCTGAATGAATCAACATTATATATTCGTGAATTGCAAAAATTTCATAAGCAACAGGAGGATGACATTTCAAAAGAACTCCAACGGAAGGAGATGCTTAAGAAGCAATTAAGACATTTACAATCCCAGATTTCCAGAGGCGGATTTAAATAACTTGCAGTGTTGCCAAATTGAACAGTTTAATTCTATGCATTTGCATTGTGAGTGGTGGGTGTGGAATTTGTGCAATGGAAATATAATACAAGTTATAATTATGAATGGTTTGTAAGGACTTGTGCAATGATGAATATGGTTGTAATATAAATGGATTGTGAGGATTGGTGCCATGATAATGGAGTAATGGTTAAGCGAATGGTTTGTAATGGAGTGGTTTTTTTGTTTTGTGAGCAATGAGATTTACATGGTATAAAGAAGTAGTGAATCTTTGTATGTAAATGGAGAGAAGCCTGGAATATGTTTAAAGGCTTTTTCTCATGTGTCACTGCCTTTCCCTTGTCACTTTCCGTTTTGTATTTTAAAAAAAAAAAAACGGGTCCAAATTGTATATGATTATTTATCATTACTTCAATAAGGACGGTCTTGATGAATTTTATGGTTTTTGGTTTTCCTTTTTTTTTTTTTTTCCTTCTTTCCTTGTTGAGCTCGGCTTCAACACAGCACTCAGTTTAGAAAGTGCACATGTAGATAACAGGTTTGCTATAAATTGTATTCCATTACATGCTGCAATTGAACCTCCTTAGAAGAATCAGTTATTTAACAATTGTTTTGCAGCATACTTTACTTATGGTCATTTGATTAGCTATATAGTAAATATATATTATAATGTACAGTTACAGAGTTTGCAGTGTTTTATATATATTAATAGTTCTCTAGGGTTTATGTCTCCAGTGGACCACAGCCACTTTGTTTATCTCATTCATGCGACATTTCACAGAGATATTGTGGATTTAATGTTTTTCAAACCATTAGTAAATTCTGGGTGCTAACTGCCATGTAATGTGTTGCCCCCCAGTTTTTATTTTTATTTTACTACCCACGCTTGTCCATTTCATTTTCATTGATTGGTTATTTTAATCATTTTTTGACGTTAATTCACTGTTGAAGGTAATTGAGGAGATCTTAAATCTATACCATGTGTTTTCAGGCATTACCTTTATTTTAAACTTTTGTACTTTTCAGCTTGGCACTGTTTCAGAATATTCAGAACTGTGTGTGTCATTAAATCCTGCCTATTACTATTGTATTATTATTTAGTTTAACGGCATTTACTTTCTGTATACATCTAAGGTTATTTTTTTCAATGTGTTCATTTTTCCAGTTTAATTAGTACTCTCTCTATGTTGTACAGTAGAATCACATCATAGAGGGGGGGTCTTGTTTATTATGGCACATACACAATCCTTTGGTTGATCAATCATTTCCTGGACTGCAAATGTAAATTGAACATTACTTCCTATATAATGTTTTAGATGCAAAGTCATCTTCTATTTATATTGTACTTCATATACTTTAAAAATTTAAGATCTCTACCAAAATTATTTAGTGGCATGTCATTGGCATTGTAAGATTGAGGGAGGGAGGTGATACTGAAAACTGAGTTAATTATTATTTTGAGTAAGATGTTCATTATCTCTGCTGTCATTAACTATTAGCAGTGAATTTTATGTAAATTTGTATTATTTGTATAAAGTTAAAAAATTAAAATGTGTATGACAGAAAAGTTGTCATTCATTTCTGTAAATGAAATAAATTTTATTTTAAGTTTAAGTCGCATTTGAAATGTTAGACTTTGTTCTATAAAGCCCTTTTGATTTTTTTTTTTTTTTTTTTTTTTTTATTTTTAAGAAATAAATTTTTTGAAATAATTTTTTTTTTTTTTTTTTTTTTTTTTTTT